AAACGAGAGCCCCCCATAGGAACAGAAGCTCAGTGGTAAATCCGTAAGCTTGCTGTCAATATTGAGAGAGAGAAAAAGCTCTGAAAAGTTCAACCTAAAGCTGGCGCCTCCAAAAAACTTGTCTGGTTTGTGCAGAACACGTCTCTCCCCAGCCAACATGACTGACAACAGGCCTTGAAATGCAAAACAGTATAAAATAGGGCCCAGGCAGGAACTCTGGCTCAAACTCCCAGAGCAAAAGCACTTAGTCAAGAAAATCACTTTTGGTACTTAGTAAGCCTCTTCTCTGTCGACAGTATAAGCAGGTACATTGGAAACAAATACCACAAACCTAACTACCAACCAGTACCTGTTCTTCAAGGGCCACCTGGGGTGCTCTCATCTTTTGGAGCAAAGAACAGCTATTCCAGACAATCAAGCAGCAAATTGGTTAGGCCCAGCAACCTCACTCCCACTCAGCCCCCGAAGGTTTCAAGCGCCCCACTAAATACTACTGAGCAGCAGTAAACCAAATGGTGCATCACCAACTGGGGTAGATGCTTTTAGTTCCAGAAAAGACCAGGCTTTGCCCTGGCCAGGTAGCCCACCTGGCTAGAGTGTTGTCCCGAAATGCCAAGGTTGCGGGTTCAATGCCCAGTTAGGATATACACAAGAATCAACCAATGAATGCATAAATAAGTGGAACAACAAACCAATGTTTCTCTTCCTCTCTCATAAAAAAAAAAAAAAAAGACCAGGCTTTAGTAAAGAGATCTCACTAATCCCTGATGCCAGAAAGTCAGAAGTCAAAGGTTACTGACAGGGTTAGCCTCCACACAACACCTACTTTTAAAGGGACACTACTGATGTAAAACTGTAAGATCGTGGGTCTCTTGAAACTCACATTATACTTTAACTATTAGAAAATGATACACCTGTATCCTGGGTTCTTACCAGTGGCTCTCGGGGCATCACATTTTCACTTCCTGGAGTAGAGCTTGGCTGCAAAGAAAAACAGAAACAAAAATAAGATCACAGTGCCACCCAATGGACATCAAAAACTAAAGACATTCTACTCTCAAGCAACACACACAAACCTCTTTCTCGCCACTTTTTCACACTGCAGTGTGTGCTGGGCAGGGTACCTGTAAGAAGTAGCCCGAAGAGTCTAAAGTTCCAGCAAACATGAAGAGGCTGTGTGGGTTCAGTGTCAGCACCTCAACAAGGCTGGTTTAGCTTAGGAGGGCCCAAGACCAGCAGCTGAGCAGCAGGGGCTAAGGACCATCACAAAATCCACAGAAATAGCAAAGTTCAGAGGAAAGGCGTTAAGTAAAACCTCCCTTTGCCACCTCCCAACATTTTGACCAAGAAAGGCAGAGCAAAAATGGAAAACCATATCCAGCCACAAGGGGGCCCCAGTTGCCCACACTCAGGATTTTCTCTGGGCATCTATTTGGAGCCAGGGAGTGAGAACTAGTTACCTGGTTCCTACACCAGTCACTGAGGACACTGGTCCACAGTAGAAAAGAATGCCAGGCTTAAATCCTTTTTTCAAAATAAGATAGTGACAGGCTGACAGATAAACAGACCAACCACCAACCAGCAGGCAGGCAGCATTGTGGCCCACTCACCTGGCTCTAATCTGTTGCCTTCTCCTCTGGATCTCTCCCTTACCCTTACATCTGCCTTCAACCCTTGGCTGGTCTTACCAAAATTTAGAGAAAGGGAAAGACAGAGACAGAGACAAAGACAAAGACAGAGACAGAGACAGAGACAGAGACAGAGACAGAGACAGAGACAGAGACAGAGACAGAGACAGAGACAGAGACAGAGACAGAGACAGAGACAGATACGCTCGGAGGAAATTTATAAACCTCCAAAAGAATAAAACAAGCAGTTTGAGTGAGTTATGATTGGTTTACTGTTACTGATGTTCAAGCCAATTTCCAATTATCTACAGATAATATCCAGACAAGTGCAGCTAATATGTGGTCTCAGGAGCCAGCCTCCAGCATCCACAGTCCTTCCAGCTAGCTCAAGATGGCAAGTGCCAGGCCTCCTAGGAAAAAGAATAGGAGGTAGGAAAGGGAAGAGTCCAGTCCACAGAGGGTCCCCAAAGATTTCCTTATGCCCAGTTGCCACCACACAGCTGGCACACAGCACAGTGGCAAGGACTGTTGGAAGATGGCCTCTATCTCCTCATCCCAAGTCCTGTCTCAGGAGCTCCTTCTTGTCCCAGGAGAAGGCCAGTCGGCATGAAACTAACTAGCAAGTCTCAGGGCAGTGAGCCTGCTTTCCTCGCGCGCCCCCCTCC